CTAACCTTGTGGGACACCAACCAGGATGATACCCTAGGACATGCTGCCCTTTCAAAGCTAGCACAGTGGCTTACAATATCTGTGTGAGGAACAACAGTCCTTAAGCCATGCAGACACTGTGTGTGTGTTTGTGTTGAGAGAGAGAGAGAGAGAGAGAAATATAGGAGGGGAGTGTATAAGTTTTTTTGTATATGACCTTCATTTCTTTTAAATTCCCTCCTTACATTATGAATTCATAGATAAATGGGGAGAAGCCAACAGGTTGTAGTTGTGAAGAAAAGGTGAATTCTATGTTAGACATCTAGATGGAAAATAAACATTCGCAATGTCGTGCACAGTTACAGTCATCCCACCTCAAAAAGCATATTGCTCAACTGGAGAAGGCTTAGAAAAGGACTGCCAAAATGGTCAAGGGACTGGAGCAACATCCCTATGAGTAAAGATTACTCAACATCCCTATGAGTAAAGATTACTCAAGCAGGGTGTTTCTTCAGGGGGAACTCACAGGAACTCAGTTCTGGCACTTCTCAGGTGGGCGTCATTGCCATTCTTAGAGAATGATGGAGGTATTCATGGTGAGTTCTGGCACCTCTTTTTCTAGAAAAATTGCACTGGTTACAAGATCTGGTGCTGGTCAGGTGAGCGGGGACATGGTAGGTGTGTGTAAAATTATGTGTGGTGTTGGCAGGGGCAGCCCTCCAATAAGGCTCTCTGAAGGCACCTCCCTGTTTCCTGCCTACTTGCCCGTGGCAGTGAAGCCTAGTGGAATGCTCCCCCATCAGCAAGCCATGGTGCAAAGGCAAGAGAGAGATCACCCATTGGCTGTGATGATGACAACACAAATTAGGATAAATTAAAAATTGTACAACAAAATGGCAGAGGGAAGTTAAAATATATATTTTTGAAAGACAGAACCCCCCACAACTCTGGGCAAAATGGTTCTTGGCTAAGTAGTGTCTGTGTTGGCTGCAGGAGTAGCATCACCATGACTTTTAAAGGGACTGTTGTGGGGGGAAAATGGTATTCTCTTTATTCTTTTGATTCAGCTTCAGCACTATCTGAAAGGAGTCTCATTTAACAACAGTGCCGGGGATGAAGTTTCCTTTGACCAAAATGGATACTTGGCCACTGGATTTGATATTATCAGCTGGGTCACATTTCCAAACCTGTCCTTCCTGAGAGTCAAGGTTGCAGAGATAGACCCCATTGCTTCCAAAGAGAAAGAATTGAACGTTTCTGTGAATAGCATCAGATGGCCCAGTGCTTTTAACCAGGTACAGATGATTCATTGTTTGGGACCACATGCTGGTGGGCAGTTCTAAACATGGAGGGCGGGTCCATGCTCGTTCACACACAGTCATTTGTTTGTGCATATTCATGCACACTTTTGAAGAGGACAAGAACATGGAGGTGAGCACTAGGCTAACTACTAGTTCGCCGCTTCCTCCTCCTTCATATTCTATTACAATTATATAATCCTCCTCCACATGCATTCAAGGTGATGTACAAGGTGATGTATATAATCCTCCTCCACATGCATTCAAGGTGATGTACAAACTGGTTTTTTTTTAGAGTTTAAAACAGCACACAGAAATAACAGAAATAATAGCTACATTTAAAAACAGTACAAAGTGGACACCCGTGGCAGAACTATTCATCCAGCTTGGAAAACTTGTTGGAACATAAATATCTTCAATTGTTTCCAGAAAATGCAGGTAGTGGATGCTAGTCATGTCTTGACAGAAAGGCTGTTCTACAGAACATGGGAAGCCACACTAAAAGGCATGTTCTGAGTTTCTGACTGGTGGACTCTGCTATTTTTGGAACTTCTTTCTTTCCATTTGCCATCTTCCCCATCACAAACCGTGAGGAACACTGTTTCTGTGAGGTGCAAGATATTTGCAATGAATCTCACTATGTGTTTCCTCAGCCCACCCCCTTTGGGGGAGGGAGCAAAGTTTGACAACATGCTGGGAGGAATGAAGTAGGAGACAGCCTTGGTGTGTGCCCATGTATATGTCACACTGAAGACCTCCAAGGGTCATGTGAAGTCTGTAGGCCCAGGGTGACACACATGTTCTGTAATTTTATGCAGAGGTGAGTAGGAGGATGCCCTATTGAATATTGCACACTTTACTTCCAAGAAAGCATGTGTAGAAATGGGGAAACCAACAACATGGTAAAGAATAAGCAACATATAATGAAGCAAACATGAGGGATTTTGTCAAGCTGTCAGAAATTAGTCAAGTGAGGTTTAAAGTGTTCTGGTGGAAAGACACTGGCCAAATCACAGAGGGAGTGGAAATATTTCCTTGAGAACTATTTTCATATACAGGCTGAGACCATTTCATTAGGCCCCCATGCGCATCAGTGGAGCGCATATAAGTGCGCCCTGCCCCATTACGTCCCCAGTTCTGCCCCAGTCCTGCCTTCTTCTGGGTCCAAAAGGATCTGTGCATCATCAATCACACATCAATTGGACGTGCTAAAATGATTGCCACTTGTACTAAAGACTGTGATTACAGTGGTACCTCGGATTAAGAACTTAATTCATTCTGGAGGTCCGTTCTTAACCTGAAACTGTTCTTAACCTGAGGTACCACTTTAGCTAATGGGGCCTCCTGCAGCCACTGCGCCACCACCACACAATTTCTGTTCTCATCCTGAAGAGAAGCCGAGGTACTTAAGGTACCGAGGTACTTAAGGTACTGAAGAGAAGCTGAGGTACCGAGGTTCTTAAGCCGAGGTACTATTTTTGGGTTAGCGGAGTCTGTAACCTGAGGTACCTGAGGTACCACTGTATAGGCATTCTAGGGTTGTCATGTTTTGAAGAGCAAAAAAGAGGACACATTTGCCGACTTCTACTTGTAACTATGGATCACTATGATGACTCTTATCATGAAAAAGAGGACATGTCCTGGGGAAAGCGGGCATATGGAAACCCTATAAAGCACCATCTTGATATGTGGACATGATTTAATGAAAGCTTTGTCAGGAGGCCTCTCTAAAGTATTACCAGTTTGCCATGCCAGTACCAGACAAATATATGGCCTAAATGCTGAGACATGAACCAATTTCACTTCTATACAGGTACAACCCATTTCATGGTGTAATGATGTCTGTCAACCAGGTTATAGCAAGAGAAAGAAGGAAGGGAAGCCATTTTGCTGCTATGATTGCTTTCTATGTCCAGAAGGGAAGATTTCAAACCAGACAGGTAAGAGTAGTCATGCCCATATTATTTTTCCCTCTAGGACATAGTTTTACATTCGTGTTTACAGACCCCCATTTCCTTCATATTTAAAAGGAATAGTTCACATGAGTGGAGAGAGTATAATATGTCAAGTGAATATGGCAAGTGTGCTCTCATGCACAGCACCCAATTTCACCAGGAAAAAATGAAATCAAATGAAAATAATTGCAAAAAATCCAAATATCAAAATGGAGGTTATGCTAATTCTTTTTGTAATGTTTAATAAAAGTTTGGCGAAAAACTAGATATTTTTTTTAAAAAAAAATTAACCAAACTCCAGAGCTTCAGGTTAACTTTTCCTGTCTTCATACCCCTAAATTCTGGATTCTTCTTAAATCATTGCTTTGTGTAGATATTTTCAAAAAGAAAAAGTAACATTGCTTGAAAATTATGTGAACTGATTTTGAGCTAGCAGTTCTCATTCAGAGTTTTAAACAGATGTTTCTGTAGTGCACTGAAGGCAAACTTCACTACAATGAAAAAATGTTTCTTTCCTTAGACATGGAGTACTGTTTGATGTGTTCGGATGGTCAATATCCAAACAAAGGCCAAAATTTATGCATTCCAAAGAATATCAGCTTCTTGTCCTTTGAAGAACCTTTGGGGATCACTTTAGCTGCTTTTACTCTTTCCCTTTCTTCCATCACAGCTTTGGTGCTGGCAATCTTCATTCAGCACAAAGACACTCCCATAGTCAAAGCCAACAACCGGAGCCTCACCTACACTCTCCTCATCTCCCTCCTGTTCTCCTTCCTCTGTGCTCTGCTATTCATTGGCCGACCTGAGAAAGTGATATGTCTGCTTCGACAAACCACTTTTGGCATAGTCTTCTCTGTTGCAATTTCATGTCTTTTGGCCAAAACCATTATTGTGGTTCTAGCTTTCATGGCCACCAAGCCAGGGTCCACTATGAGGAAATGGATAGGGAAAAGACTGGCTGCTTCTGTTGTTCTTTCCTGCTCCCTCATTCAAGCCACTCTTTGCACTGTGTGGCTAACAACCTCTCCTCCATTCCTAGATGTAGATATGTACACAATGGCTGAAGAGATTGTTTTGGAATGTAATGAAGGATCTGCCATCTTGTTTTACTCTGTCCTAGGCTACATGGGTTTCTTGGCCACTGTCAGTTTCACAATAGCTTTCTTAGCCAGGAAGTTACCTGACAGTTTTAATGAAGCCAAGTTTATCACCTTCAGCATGTTGGTCTTTTGCAGTGTTTGGGTGACCTTTGTCCCAACTTACCTTAGCACAAAAGGGAAATACATGGTGGCTGTGGAGATCTTCTCCATCTTGGCCTCTGGCGCTGGGTTACTGGGCTGCATTTTTGTCCCTAAATGCTATATCATTTTGGTTAAACCTGAGTTGAACAACAGGGAGCTACTGGTGAGAAAAAAATAATTCAGGCATTAGAAACTAATAACCCCTAATTGTGATATTAGTTATTGCTGGGCTTGAAATGCCTCCTGAACTTTGTAGCCCTATTCTGTTGATGTGAAAGGTTTTGAGGGAGAACCCCCTCTTCTTTTCATCATGTACACAGTAAAGATAAAGATAGAATGTGTTAGCTATGCTTTATTGAATCTACATGCAATGTTTAAATCTTGGTAATGCACCCCATTTTTTTAATCCAATTCAAATCATTGTTTCACAGTATCATTTATAGCTGCCAATTAGTCCTTTTTAAAAAATTGATTTTTATTAGATTTTATTAGATTTTATGAGTTTATAACAATACCAAATACATATCCATATAAAGAGATTTCTCTGAAACTCACGACACCCCCCATCCCTTCCATGGGTCCTAATGTGAACATTTTCAACGACATATTATTACATAATCTGTATTTTATATCCATCCATATTGTCCATATTACCAGCTTCAAATTAGTCCTGATCTGCTGATAGGCACTGACTTCAAGCTTGCTGGTATTGGCTGAACTGCTGAGTTTTTGTTGGGGAGTTCCACATTGCGGTCGACCCCTGCTGAAAGCAAAACTAACACTGAGAAATGGAGCAAGTGTCCCCATATATTTTAATGTAGAGAGAGAGATCCTCTTGTCTCATCATGCCTTGGGTGCATGATTACCACTTTCAAGGTGCCTAGCACCACTCGCTATGATGAGTAGGAAGCATAGCCTGATTTCATTCAGCCAGTCTCCTGTGGTTTATTTTACGAAAGGATCAAGAGGGACAAACTTCCTCCAAGCACCTTATCCTTGTTCTCACACTACATAAGCTGAAATCAATTTCTCTAGCAGTGTAGATTTTCCAGGGAATATTTACTCATACTTCCCCTGTTTGCCACTGGAGCTACTGGTGGGCACATTTGTACTAACAGGCACCACACTTGGAGGTTCCTTTTGTCACTCTCAGCCCTGTGTGAGAAGTTGGGTGCTTCTAAGGATGTGTAGGTGCTACTGAACACATGGACATGCATTACAGATGGGGTTTTTTTTAAAAAAAGCAAGACATGGTTTAGCATGACATCTTCATGAAGACCCTGTTTTGCCTTTCCCCGTAAAAGTACTATGGTGTGGAGTTTGCCAAGATAGTTGGCTAGCCACCAGGAAGGATACCAACTTACAACTTTATTCTGCAAAGCTGAAGAAAAGCACGCCACCTTTTTCAGTTGGCAATACAAGATGGGGGAAATGTTGACTACTCTATGGAACTGGAAGCTTCTGTCTGCTTTTTGAACCTCCTTCTTTTGTCAACAGCCTGATTTAGAAATTCTGCCCAGTTTCATGCCATGTATAGAAGTAGAAACTATGCAAAACTTTTCTTCTTTTATGCCAGTGTCTTCCTTACTTTAAGGCCTCCTTGACTTGATGGCCTCCTCTTGATGGCCATTAAATAAGAGGCTGCCCTATACCAAGCCAGAACATTGGTTCATCAGACTCTGTACCGTCTACACTAACCGGTAATGGCTCTCCATTGTTTCAGATGGGGATCCTTCATAGTCCAGCTTTGAGATAAAGGTGTTGGGACCAATGACATTGTGCACCCCTCCCTCTAAGTCTCTTGTTATCACAAATAATTTGCTATAAAAAAACTTTTTATGCAATATTATAAAACTTTTTTCTTATTCCACCAAGTCTGATCATTTATCTATCTATCTGTCATCTGCACAAGGTTTCCCAAACCTGGTATTCTCCAGATGTTTTGGACTTAAACAGCCATCATTCCTAATCATCAGCCATTCTGGCTGAGGCTGATGGGAGTTGGATTCCAAAACACCATTGGGGAAGGCTCTCTACACGATACTGGCAGTAGCAATCCATGGTTCCAGACAAGAACCCAGCTGTAACTGGAAATACCAGGGACTGAACCTGCGACCTTGTGTATGCAAAACATGAACTACTATCTTTCCCTTCTTTGCCCAACAGACCACTAATTGGATTTCAAGGCTGAACAGAGAATTGATATGACATGTGAATGCCAGACGTAAAAATCAATCCCTCTCAGCCCTTGGATAACATCCAAGCCAACATGCAGGATGGCAACACTCATCCTTTCTTCTTCCAAGACACTCTTTGTAGCAATTTGGCCACTGCCCCATGGACATCCTTGTTCCTCAAGGTATAAATGATAGGGTTGAGAAGTGGGGTGACCACAATGTAGAAAAAAGCAATTTTCTTGTCACTGTCTGGAGTTGTCCCCGACCTGGGTCTCATATACATAGAAATAACAGTGCCGTAGAACAAGGTGACCACTGCCAGGTGGGAAGCACATGTAGAGAAAGCTTTGCTCCGACCAGCAGCTGACTTCATTTGTAACACAGAAGACAGAATGAGTCCGTAAGAGGTCAGGATAACAGAAAGGGGCACTAGAAGGATAATCACAGCTGCTCCAAAAACGACAGCCTCCGTAACACGGGTGTCAGCACATGCAAGTTTCAACACTACTGGCATCTCGCAAAAGAAGTGATTAATGAGGTTGGGGCCACAGAAGGGGAAGCGAAGAGTGCAGGCCACATTCATCAGGGAGAGCAGGAAGCCACCTGCCCAGGAGCCTGAGGAAAGCTGCAACTGGTGCCACTTATCCATGGCAACAGCGTAGACCAATGGCTGGCAGATGGCCACATAGCGGTCATAAGCCATGGCACCAAGCAGAAGAGCTTCGGTGCTCCCCAGGGACAGCCCAAGGTACATCTGGGTCACACAACGGGCAAAGGAGATAGCTCCATTCCCAGACAAGAGATGAGCCAACATCTGGGGCACAGTGCAGGTGACATAACATATCTCCAGGCCAGAGAGTTGAGTCAGGAAGAAGTACATAGGTGTATGGAGGCGGGGGTCGGCCAGCACCAGCATGATGATAACCAGGTTCCCCAAAAAGGTAAATGAGTAGAATATGAGGATGACCACAAAGAGGAGAATCTGTGTCTTGCGGTGGTTGGAGAGCCCCACCAAGATGAACTCTGTGACGGAGGTGAGGTTCTCAAATTCCATTCTAGCCTCCTCCCTGTAGAGAAAGGGCAAATGTAAGAGACCAGGCACAATGGGACAACCATAGACTATCATCTCTCCCACAAACAGAAGGAAGGTTCTAATATGCTTTTAAATAATATGTTTTATCATTGATGTTCTGTAATGTGTTTTTAATGTTGTACACTGCCTTGGGATCCTTGGGATAAAGGGTAGTATATAATTTGAAACTGAAACAACAACAACAACAACAACAACAACAACAACAACAACAACAACAACATAGCAGGTGAATGCTCTTAGTTGTGAGGACCACCCCCCATTTGACTCTCAAATATTCTTAGGTATTATTCTTTTGCATGATGATTTAGATAGTTTAAGCTCTGTGCACCAAGGTACCATGTAATACAATTTGGACCATGATGCTGATTATGTGAAGAGAAAGATTTAGACTGCAATCCCAACCCCACTTACCTTGGAGTAATTCCCACTTTATTCTGTAGAGCTTGCATCTGAGTAGGCATGGATAGCATTGCTCCTTTTATTATTTCACTTGAAACATTTCGGATAAACAAAAATACATAATAACAAACAAGACACCTATAACAAAACTTGACTGTACACTTAGTTTCAGCGCTGCTTTTAAATGCACATGAAGAATGGGGGGAAACATTGAAGATAAAGAAACAGCAATAGGTCAACAAAGATGATGTATAGATTTTAAGTTACAGGCCAAAAATGTTTAGATACAATATCAGTCCATAATGGACAGTGGAGATCTGGAGGAAGGAATGCTGCCTGTTTTCGCAGGGAGAAAAAACCTGAAAAATGGGAACCAAATAACTGGGAATTGTTTTAGATTTAACCCCTCTAAGCTGCCTATTATGTTCCATGGCACAGAGTGCATTTATCAGCTTCAGCTGGTGGCCCAGCTGTGTCCCTATCTGGGATAGGTGATAGCCTAACTTCTACCATCTATGCTCTGGTAACCTCTAGGTTAGATTACTGCAACATGTTATATGTGGGGCTGCCTCTGAAGATGGGTTGGAAACTTTAGATGGTGCAGAATTCAGCAGCCAGTGCTCACATGGGCAAGACTTATTCAGCATATAATGCCAATGCAAACATGTGTCCTTTTGGGGGTGGTGTATTTCCTTTCTTTTTTTCCACTGTGAGGTGTGAGTAGCCACTTAACAGTTTCTGTTTTGGGGGGCCCTCCAGATTTAGGTAATCCAATTCCTGTTTTCATCTGTCCCTGGTTTCTTCCTTTCTAAAGCTGAACTCTGTTGTGCTTATCTTAGAGTAGATCTACCTAAGATTGCTCTTCATAGCCTACTCATTCATATATATGTATATGATGTGGGGGGGGGCACACACACACAAGATGATTCAGTGGCTTGGAAGAAAAAGGGTGTTATCACCACTCCATTATGTGCTGCCTGAGTACACTTTCCATAGTGATGGGGCTTCGAGTACTAAAGTACCGGGACAAGCATTAGCACATATACTGTACGTCTCTGTGGGTTTTATTTAATTTCATGGCTACATTGTCCCCTTTATAGTTCTCAGATTCCGAAGAGCCTTTACTCCCGTGCCTGGGTCTATCTGGAGGGCCACAGGTTCCCCAACACCGATTTAAAGGGTAGAATTGTGTCCTGAATTTTACTTCTAGAAATATGGCAACCCTACCACAACAGTCATCTAATCCAACCCCTGACCTATCATGAAATGCTGGGGGGGAAACCTGTGCCAAAGCATTTGGCAAACTGTACCTCCAACTCAACAATTCTACCAAGGGTTCAGCTTACCTTCCTTTGTCCTCAGCCAGTCTGCACCTGCCTGCCTGCCTACTTACAACCAGCCTAGCGGATTGCACCACCTGTCAGCTTCTTCCTTGAATGCAGAAGAGAGAAGGGTGGAACAAAACTGGAATTAGTTGGCTCTGCCTGTCATTGGCCCTGGCTCCATATACCATTGGCCTCCCTAACTTTTGCCCTAAGAGTCTTAATGGGCACCAATCACCAGTTTCTCACATGGAAAAAGAGAAGTCAGAACAAAACAGGAATATGAGAAAATTCCAAAGTTAATTTCCTTGAGATTTGCACTGAGGCACGTTGTCTCTCTCACAAGAAGTGAAAATAAGTGAAAATTGAGAAACTGAATAGAAGGATATATTTTTAGAACCCTCCTGAAGGTGAAAACAAAAGGGAAGATGAAAAGTTGCACGTCCAAACAAAACATACACCCCCTTTCATTCAGCACCAATTGAAAGTAACAAGCTTTCAAGGTGGAAAATATTAACATTAGTGACATACCAAAGAATCATAGAATTGCAGAGTTAGAAGGGACCACGAAAGTCTAACCCCCTGAAATGCAGGAATCTCAACTAGATCATATAAAACAGACTAGAATCATAGAATTCTGAAGCAGATAGTACTACCAAGCAGGTAAATTTCATCTTAAAGAGTGAAATGAGTTCCTTTTCTCCCCTCCAATTACAGAATATAATCTTACCTTCATGCTATTCCCAGATGTTCCTGGTGTGGTGAGTTTATGTTAAGTTGTACAACAGTTGGCTGAGTTAGGGTCAAGCTTCTAACGCAACATATAGAAGGTTCACAAAGATGGATATTGCAGTGTCAAGGGGCTATTGGTGGAGGTCTTCTCTGTGCTGCTTTGAAAGGGATGCCTGTGGCACAATCATGGTGGCCATACTTCTCATGGCTAATTCCTCTGATAGGAGGAGGCAGGGAAAATCTAGATTTTACTAGCTTTAAAGTGGCAAGAACTGTCTGAAGATACTCTGATCTTTAAGTACACTGGGAGTCACACCAAAGAAACATATGTAGCACATACGTACATCAGGGATGCTGCTGACCCTTAGCTTGTTGTCTGTTAGAGTCTCCGCTGGGAAGAGGTTGGAAGGAAATCGTGATGCCCAGATTTTTAAAGTAAAGTCCCTGAACTCTAGAGTTGGGAGAAAAACTGCTTTGTATCAGGTGAGATCACTGGTCCATCAAATAACTGTGGTGTTGCAAATTTGATTGAAGCATCTTCTACTGCCCTACCTGTGAGGTGTCTGCTCAAGTCTAGCATTGGCTATCTCGACTGGCAGCCAATCTCCAGACAGATGACCTATTGCCACTTAAAGACGATGCTAGGGATCTTAGACCTGCAAGGCGTGTGCCTTTCCACTAAACTCCTGCTTTCCAATCCATTTGGACAGGTGCTCCCCCAGCCAATTTTTTTAATGCTTTAAATGGGAGAATGAAGATCATCTGGCTTGTTCAACTCCCTGTTCTAAGTGTTAGGTGGTGGCTGTTGTTGCTCTTTCCCCTTGAACACATCAAGAGACTGAAGATTCGGTACCATAATGAGGACTGTGAGTCTATTCCACAGAGACTCCTCAGATTCCTTTGGAGATTTCTTCAGGATTTGTAATAGTCCCTTCTCTCTTGGGCTGCAAGCAGTTAAAATACAAAAATGGAAGAAGGCTCTCTGAAACAGGTAACAAAGATGGTGGAAATAAAAAAAGGCAATAATTTACATTTTTTTAGCCTACAAATGAGGTTGTGTACATTCCAAAGCAGGAAAGCGTTTGAGTAGGGATCATTGTTTTTAAGCAAATTATGTTGCATGCATACTGAAAAGTATTCACAGTGCATTTCCTATGTTTTTCATATACAGAAATATTTAATAATTTCTTAGCAAATAGGGGAGGAGCATGAAGAGGAATAAATACATTATCCATAAGGATTCTCTTCTAATCAGGCAGAATCTTCAGCCTCATTTTCATACTTTTCATCTCTTTTGAGCTATCAACTACCCAGTGAGGTAGATTAAGCTAAGAGTTAGGGCCTCACCAGATATCATTTTATGTCACATCCATGATGATTTACGTTCATGAGGTTATTGGAGTGATCACATATGTCCCACTTTCAATACCATTTGTGCCTGCCAAACTTTCATAACAGCCACACTTTCCATTCTGATCAGTGCACAACCCTTAACTTCCAGTCAGCAACTGTAACATTTTATGCCTGGCTTGATTTCCCCCACTGATGTGGATATGAAGTGTGAAACCAAATACTAGTTGTGTGAAAGGGTAGTGACCCTTTAAGCCTGGCAAAAAACACAGAAAACCACACCTGTCAATGTGAAGAAGTTTATTAAGTTCCAAAAGGGAATTGGGAGAATGATGCTTTAAGAATATAAAGAAAACAATTTACTTCATGTCTACCTATCCTATTGCAGTGCCTTACAAACAGGCTACTGGTCTCCTCGCAAGAAACAAAAGCAGCATTGCGTGTCAGATGAAGGTTGAGGGACAAGTGGCAGTGTTGGCAACAGTCCATCTTTTAAGGGTTCTTGACCCAGGTAGGCTCTGATTGACAGGCAGCATTTAAAGGACTGCCACATCCATCAGGGAGAAGTTTTGCAGAAAGCTTTACCAAACCTGGTGCTCTCCAATTCCCTTACCATTGGATATGTTGATAGAACATATCTATGTTTTGGACTCCAAAACATCGGAAGCATGGTAGGTTGGGGAAGGCTGCTCTAAGCCATACTGGCAGTAGCTCTCAAGGGTTCCAGCTGTGACTGGAAATACCTGGGGTTGAACTTGTGTGTTGAAAACATGAGCTACTGCCACTGTGCTAATATCCTTTTTAAAAAAAAAAAAAATATTTATTAAAAGTTTAAGAGTTACAAAAAGAAAGAAAGAAAGAGAAGAGGAAAAAAGAAAAAGAAAGGAAGTTGCACAAAATAAAACAATACAGTACATAAAAAACAAAAAACCACTACTTATATTAATAGAACAAAAACAAAAAGTAAAACAAAATCAATTTAAAAACACATTCAATATTCCCAAATCTTATCTTTCATCACTTGTTTCAGCGACTTCCTCACACCTCCCTCTTTTGTATTCTAGTTCAGTTAGATATTTCAGCAAATCCTTTCCATCTTTCTCTATTTTTTGTCATGTAATTATCTTAACATATTTTACTTAATTCCTTAAAAGCGTTTCTACTAAAGCCATATAATTCCTTCCCAACATTTTCTTAACATTCACTAATTTTACATTATTTCCTTATATAAATTTTAAACTTTCCCAATATTCTTACGCCGTCTCTTCTCCCTGGTCTTGGATTCTGCCAGTCCTTTCCATCAATTCCCTATAGTTCATCAACCTGGTGATCTTATGTCCAAGGCTCTTAACTCTTTTCCAAGTCCCTTCTGCGAATCTTCTTCATATTCTTTGATGCTAAACAGTAGATCTCGGGGAGATTCCCATCCAGCAATGTTCTCACTCCTTCTCGACAGGTCAGCCAAATCTCCACAATCAAAACTAAAATTCAAACGGTATTTCCAGTCGTACTTCAAAGTTCCTCCAGGTCTGACAGTCCCCCCAGCTTTAATCTCCTCCTGGCCCAAGTCCAGATCCCAAAAGTCAGTAGATCCCTGCGTGAGGGGATCTATCAGTCCAAGCGGGGCTCCCATCCTCAAAATCTGACATTCTCTATATTCAGTCTCAAAAGGCGTCAATTTGTTGTCATCAAATTGCATCTGCGAGGCTGGGGCTCTCTCTCTCTCCCCCTGCATTTGCACTTCAGCTTCTACCATCACTACTTTCTCCCCTGCCTTCTTCTCAATTTGCCATGTCAAAATAGGTCCCTGTATCCATTCCTGAATGATTTCTGTATTGATAGTCACTTTTCGTTTGAAGTTGTCAATTTTTATAGCCCCCGCATCCACCGTTTTATGAAGTTGTATCAGTGAATCGTTGATCTTGCATAATGCAACCACTAAAGATTCTTCTGTCAACATCCTTAACAGTCCAAGGTCAATCCCAGATTCCCACAATGTTATCTGCAGATGGAAATTTCCCCAGCTCAGCTCATGTAGCAATTTCAAAAGCTTCCTCTAGGGGGAAACTGTTTCTATTTGTATCAGTTCTTTTAAACTCCGTTTCAACAATAAAATTAGTTTCAATTTTCAGTTACTTTAACTCCTTTTTAAGCACAGAAGGAGACAATGTATTTCTTTTCTTTAACTTACTTATTCACAGTCCATAAGCATATCCAAACCTCAACTTACTGACAGCCCGTTTCCAGGTTCAGAGCGGTGGTATTTTAACTTTCTTCACTCTTTTCCTGCAGGCTTGCACCATCTAAAATTTCCCCCCTCTTCTGCTTCCAAGGGGGTTTTAATGATTTAACCGTTGGAGGTTTGATCCTTTATAAAAAGCTTTCCAAGACTTTAGCTTGCATTCTCTTTGCTTTCGTCTATATACAAAGGGGAAGGCGGACTTCCTGTTTGAGACCTTCCCGTCAGTGCCAAATTAAGATGTTTAAAAATCCAATTTTCAGTTCTACTCACGGGTAGTTCTTTTAGAGTCAAATTGTCCACAGGAAAAAAGTCAGCGCTCTCCGGCAACAGCAATGCAGCTTCACTCCGTGAAAGAAGCAGTCAATTCGAAGCACCGCACCACTCACCCCACGTCGCTCCAGATCCCCGAAACCGGGTTTCCCCGCGAGTAGGGGAGGCGCAAAAGGTGCCTGCCGAATCCCACGTTCACAGGCTTCTCCCACCTGTGATTTTTTCGGGTCTCCGCTTTCGCCGTAGCGGCCAGACCCTATTTTCCACGGAGCGGATTCCTCCCTGTCAGATGAATTCCGCCATTGCCGGAGGCGCTAACTCCGGAAGTACTGTGCTAATATCCTTCCCTTCTTTGCCCAACACTTCCCAAAGAGCAGAGGTTGGAGTATGCTATCATCCCAGAAAAGGTCCCCAACTTGGGATATAAGCCATCATACCTGAGGCCACTATCTGAAATTCAAGGCTGAAAAGAGGTTTGATACGTTGTTTTAATTCAACACTTAAGAATCAGACTAAAGCATCCCTTGAATAACATTGAAGCTAAATAAGCAGAACATCAACAGCCATACTGTTTTCTTCCAAGACCCTCTTTTCAGCATTTTGGCCACTACCCCATGGACATCCTTGTTTCTCAGGGTGTAAATGATTGGGTTGAGAAGTGATGGCAATTTTCTTGTCATGATTTGGAGTTGTCCCTGACCAGGATCTCATATACATAAAGATTGGCCATTGGACTGACCCAGTACAAGCCAAATCCCATTCCCCATCTCATTCTGCTGGATATACAGATCCATCCTTAGATTGTGTCATCAGTTCTGCCCCAGCTGTAATTAAGGTCTATTTGAGTCTTTCCATTCCAATCTACTCCTCTGGGATGAGAGCTGGATCTGGCAAACGGAGGCAGTGGTACAAATTTCAATTCCAAATTTTCTGAGAATCAAATGCAATGGCAATAAGATGGTCTTATTGGTTTACCCGACAGCTTCCCCATTTTGCAAATAGTCCCATGTGCCCCAAAAGGCAACTGGCAGCTCCTAGTCAACATGACCACTTAAGCAAGGTGGTGACACTCATTTGTGTTTCAAACCCCATCTTTGCAGAACCTTAGCTGCTGCCCTATGGACATCCTTGTTCCTAAGGGTGTAAATGATAGGATTGAGCAGGGGGCTGACCAAAATATAAAACACTGCAATTTTCTTGTCAAAATCAGAGGCTGTGCCCAACCCAGGTCTCATGTACATAGTGATGACAGTGCCATAAAACACGGTGACAACCATCAAATGAGAGGTGCATGTTGAGAAGGCCTTTTGCCTGCCAGAGCTTGACTGCATTTTCAGTACAGTGGACAAAATGAGCCCATATGAGGTCAAAATAACTGAAAGAGGGCCCAGGAGGATGATAGCAGCTGTCATGAAAACTACAAACTCAGTGATGTGAGTGTTGGCACATGCAAGTTTCAGCACCACAGGTAGCTCACAGATGAAGTGGTTGACACGATTGGGGCCACAGAAAAGGTGGCTGAAAGTGCAGCCCACATTGATTGTTGCAAGAAGGATGCCTACCAGCCAGGAAACCGAAGCCAGTTGCAGTTGGCGCCACCTGCCCATGAGGATGGCATAAAGCAAGGGGTGGCAAATGGCCAAGTAACAGTCATAGGCCATGGCACCTAGCAAAACACATTCAGTGCCACCCAGGGTCAATACCAGGTGCATCTGGAGTGCACAACATGTTAAAGAAATGGCACCATTTCTGGTCAGGAGGTTGAACAGCATCTGGGGCAAGGTGCTGGTGACATAACATATCTCCACCCCTGCAAGGTGAGTCAAGAAGAAGTACATGGGTGTGTGGAGGTGAGAGTCAGTCCGAACAAGCATGATGATCACCAGGTTCCCCGCAATGGTAAGCAAATATATGTTGAGGACGACCACAAAGAGCAAAATCTGGGTCTTGCGGTGGCTGGTGAGTCCCACCAAGATGAATTCAGTAATAGAAGTGAGGTTCTCAGCCTCCATTCTGGCTTCTCCCCCTACATTGATGGATAGAGAGAATAAGCAAAGAGAAGTTAGGATGAATGCAGTCATTTTCTTAAAAAAACAAAACCAAACCAAACCTGAGCCTGTACTAGTTTAAAGAACAGGTGCAATTTCTGGAAACAGATACTATTGTGAGACTATGTAATGGACTTATACAGTGGTACCTTGGTTCTGTTCCGGAAGTCCATTCCAAAACCAAAGCATTCCAAAACCAAGGAGCGCTTTCCCAAAGAAAGTAATGCAAAATGGATTAATCAGTTCCAGATTTTTAAAAACAATCCCTAAAACAGCAATTTAACATGAATTTTACTATCAAACGATCCATAAAATGAAAGACAGTATCGTACATAGATGATAAAAATTAAAATTAATTTTTTTTCTTACCTGCACTGATGATAGTCATTGTTTGGATGGGTGATTTTTTAAATCCATTTCCACAGTCACACAATCAATCAATCAACCAGTAGCTGAACTGGGTTTCACACAGTCACAAAAACAAATTAACTGAAAAAGTCTCAAAGGCAAAACTGCAAAATAAATAGCAAAAACAAAAGCGCCAAACCTAATCCGTTCCGAAAGTCAGTTTGACTTCTGAAATGTTCGAAAACCAAAGTGCAGCTTCTGATTGGTGCAGTTCCCCGGAAACAATAGCTGACAGCCGCATTGGATGTTCGGCTTCTGAAAAACATTCGAAAACCGGAACACTTAATTCCGGGTTTTTGGTGTTTGAGAACCAAGGTACCACTGTAACGACCACTTTATATTGGAAACTTTCTTATTGAAAGTCTGTAATATTTTTATGAATCCAGCTTCCACCCAGAACACACCACAAAATCCATTGTCTACAGGTAAGTCCTGCAATACAACAGCATCCATCCTGACCCTTCAGACAGAGATTCACAACAGGATTTACACCAGACATTTCTTAGACAGCAGTACCAACCTAAGAACATGAAAAACAAATTAAAAAGAAAGACTGAAATAATCAGTCTGCTATAAGAGAGACCTACAGTGGTACCTCGGGTTACAGACGCTTCAGGTTACAGATGCTTCAGGTTACAGACTCCGCTAACTTTGCTTCAGGATAAGAACAGAAATCGTGCGGTGGCAGCGGGAGGCCCCATTAGCTAAAGTGGTACCTCAGGTTAAGAACAGTTTCAGGTTAAGAATGGACCTCCAGAACAAATTAAGTTCTTAACCCGAGGTACCACTGTAATAGATGAAGTCACGTGACACCACTTGATGTCACTTATAGCTCTCAGCTAAAACTTCTTTGATATATATCACCTACAGTTGGGGTAGCCAACATGGTGCCCTCCGTATGTTGCTGGGCTCCAGTTCCCATCAGCCTTAGTGAGCATGGCCAATGGTCAGGAATGCTGGGTGTTCTAGTCCAACAAATGGAGGGCATTACATTGGCTTCCCCAGAGCTACAGGATGTGTGGCTCATCCTGGACAATATTACTTCCCTCTCTGTCTTAGGTCAAGTGTGGGGAACATTTGGCCCTCCAGATGTTGTTGAATTATATGAGCCCCAGAAAACATGGCCATTGGTCAGGGATGATGAGAGTCATGGTTCAGCAACATCTGGAGGGCCAAAGGTTTCCTCACACCTGACCTAAAGAACACAAGTTCATCCCAACCACCAAAACTGGGAGTGGGGAACATTTATATCCTGCCTTTCCAAAAAGATTAAGGTGGTTTAATGAAGAAACAAAAACAACATGTCTATACATAAAGAATACAGTAAAGACACAATCACAACGTAATAAATCATGAAAACATTACAGTGGTGCCCCGCAAGACGAATGCCTCGCAAGACGGAAAACTCGCTAGACGAAAGAGTTTTCTGTTTTGGAGGTGCTTCGCAAAACGAATCTCCTATGGGCTTGCTTCGCAAGATGAAAATGTCTTGCGAGTTCCTGCGGTTTTTTTTTTCCTTCCCCCCCCTTTTTCTAAGCCGCTAAGCCGCTAAGCCGCTTATCCGATAAGCCGATAAGCCACTAAAAGCCGCTAATAGCACTAATAGCGCTAATCCGCTAATCCGTCAATGGGCTTGCTTCGCAAGACGAAAAAACCGCTAGACGAAGAGACTCACAGAACGGATTCTTTTCGTCTTGCGAGGCACCACTGTATTACATAACAGAAGATACAAGGAAGCGAAGTCAAAAATGTAAGAAGAGCAGTAAAAATTCATTAGTCTCACCTTACTAACAACTGACGACTATCCAACAAAGGGAAGTGTGTGCACCATGCGAGAAAAGCATCAAGGAAAAGGAAAAGTGGAGCTCTCTGGGTAGGGAATTCCAAGGTCTGCTTGTGATCACATCTAGGCTTCTGTTGAAAGGGGTGTTCACACTGCGGTTTAAAGAGCAAAAAGCATGTTGTTCTTGTTCTTCTTGTGCCTCCGTGGGTGAAGTCAAACTGCTGGAGAATCACAGCACCTTCTGTGGCTGGTAACTCACAATTGCTGCTTCCTGCATTGTTTTTCTGTGTTAGCAGCACCAAAGAGACCTCCTGGGGCACAAGCCTAGGCAGTGTGTATGGAAGTCCTGGGCTGCCCTGACTAGAAGACCCCCCATTTTCTTGGCCTTGTTGATGTGGTCCAAAGGAAGCAGAGCAATACATTTAGCACCAGCTAGGCTGCAGGAGTTGCCAGAAGGAGGCATACAAGGCACCGGGTCATCCAGCCGTCTTATGGACTCTACTCCAAATTTCTGCAGACTTTACTCCTTAGCCTTTACTTCTCTCAAAGATTTACTCCTGCAGTCTTTCTCATGAATGAGAAAGGCAGTGGCAGTTTAGATCAGAGTTTTCATTCCCCTAGATCAGTGTTCCCCAACCCCCGGGGCCGCGGCCTGGTGCCGGTCCGTGGATCAATCGGCACCGGGCCGCCCGAGGAACTTCAAATCATTTCACTGTGGCGGGTGGCCGAGGCGCAGAGCATTGCGCCCTCTCAAGCCCGCCCATTGTGTGACAATAGCGAATGAAAATTCGCTATTGTTACACTGATGCTCCTCCTGGCCAATCAGGGAGCGGGTCCTCCCGCTTCCTGATTGGCCGAAAGGCAAACCTCACACCATTGGCTGAGGAGGAGGCGCCACAGGAGGATTGAGGACTCGAGGTCGGAGACGCGGGGACTGAAGAGAAGCTGCCATGAGGTAAGTGCACGGAGAGGGGGGACTCAGCTCAAAACAAGCGGGCCACGGAAAAATTATCAAACATTTACCGGTCCGTGGCAATAAAAAGGTTGGGGAGCACTGCCCTAGATGAGCTGCCTTCCCAGACTGACAAGCCCCATCTGCCCCTTCTTTGCCTCTGCTGCAAGTGCAGTGTTTTCTTGACCATTGGACCCACAATTGGTCTTGTATGTTCAATCCACCAGAGCCTGTCTTCAAGTGCAGGGGAAGCCCCTAATGCACTGAGGGTATGAGACCCATCGGCTATCCTCATCTGTTATAGCCAGCCAGTTGAATCCATTCCTGGGTTGTAGCCACTGTCACAGGTGGGAACTGAGTGCAGGGTGGAGACCAAAGGTAGACAAACTACCCCAGAAGGAACACGACATGTCCCCCGACCTCCCCTAACACCCCTCCACTAACACCCCATGCACCCTAAAAGCATGTGACAGTCCACATTTCCAATGAGTTCCATAGTCTATAAGACTGAGATGGAAAGAAATGGCTTTCTGCTGAATTGGATGAATAGGCAATCTAGCCTAGCAATCTTTCCATCTTTGACTAGCAACAGCTGTCCATGACCTCAGGTAGATGTCTTTTTATTACCGGAGATCCTTTAATGCCAGATGCATTGGACATGCAAAACATGTGCTCTTACACTTAAGCTACCTGTATAGGGCTCCGCCAACTAATTTTTGATGATCTCCGTGGTTAGACAAAACCACCTGCTCCATCTGCCTATATTTATGGTATCAGAATATGAATACCATCCTTGCTTCCCCCCCCCCCCCTGCAATTTATCAAAGGTCTGATAAAGATGTTTATTTTACTCTGCAGATACTCTGCAGATTCTGCAATCCCCTTGGTGGTTTCCTGTGGATCATTAACAGCTTGTTGTTTCTTGGGCCTTCTGGGTCCCAAAGCAATTAACATAGCAAAATGCAGAGGGGGGAAACATTCTTCAAACTTTTCAACACAGAAAGTTGTGATGAAGAATGTAACACACAATTCATTCATCCGTTGATCTGTATGCCACTTTCCTGCAAAATTGTGCCTAAAGCAGATCAATAAGTATAACCATTCATATTAGGAATGTATAGGGAAAATCATAATATCAATAAGTATGAAAACAGAATGAATTCATACAGTATTATATGAAACACTACAATGCAAACAAAACAATAGAAATATGCTAACCTAATTTAGCAATTCAAAAGCAAATATGAAAGAGAATAATGCCTAATATAAATAAAATAGTAATATATGAGTCTGGGAGGGAGGGGTCCACCATTCCAAAAATACATTCTACAGAGAGTCACCACAAATTACTTACCTGCGTGGGGTGGTAGCCACACCCCTCACTTTTAGGAGCCATCTTCCCAGCTTTCCCCTGGATCTCCTCTCACAATCACTTGCCCCGCCCATACCTGTTCATGAGCCATGTTTGTGCACTATTCATGTGTACAGCAATTTGGGAGTCACTCAGGAGCAGAGCCGCACATTTAGCCCTGCAACTAACATTACTTGTTGAACTACAACTTCCATCACCCCTAGCTAGCAAGGCCAGAGCTCAGGAATGATGGGAGTTGTAGTCCAACAACATCTGGGGACCCACAGGTTGAGAACCGCTGCCCTAGAGCTTCCTACTAAGTTCACTTTTCACCATCCCAACTCCATTTCTGGAGCCAGTTCTCTCTTACATTATGTAGCCCCATTTCACACCCTTGTTTTCACTCCCATGCCTTCTCCCATCTCCTTTGGTGCAATCCCACTTATACCAAACCCTCTGGTGATCTCTCCCATGGTTGATGATCTTCAGTAGCCTAGGAACAGAGAAGAAAGCTATTTCCTTGTTCTGCTGGATCTCTAAGTGGCTTTTGATACCATTGAGCATGGTATCCTTCTGGATTGTCTAGAGGAGTTGGGAGCTGCAGGCACTGTTATGCAGTGGTTCTGCTCCTTCCTCCTGGACCACATCTAGAAAGTGATGTTGGGGGATGAGTATTCGGATCCTTGGGTGTTCACTTGTGGAGTGCCTCAGGGCTCTGTCCTCTCCCCCATGCTTTTCAACATCTATATGAAGCCGTTTGGATAGATCATCAGGGGGTTGGGATGGGTGTTCACCTGTATGCAGATGATACCCCGTTCTACCTCTCCTTTAAAACAGAACCAATGAATGTCCTATGTGAGTGTCTGTAGGCGGTTGGAGGATGGATGGTGGTTAATGGGCTTTGAAGACACTCAAACTCAGGACACAAGGGGAAAACGTGCCAAGAGGAAGCCAAGCTTAGCAAATCCACACCGTGATCAACTCCCACCCGGAAACCAATGTCCCCACTGTGGAAGGACGTAAGGATCCAGAACTGAAATCCACAGTCACTTATGGACTCATTGTTAAAACCGTGTTTATGGAAGACAATCTCAGCTGGGGCTGCATGCAGACGAACAAAGAAACGAGAGCCAGTGAAAGGGCTCTTGCTTTGGAGTAAGATCTGCCTCTCCCTGCCTTCTCTCTTTTACAGAAACACAGATTCTGGAACGGCAGCTGCTTGCATCTCTTCTCTGATATACTTCCAATAGTCTTCTCTCTATGCACACAAGTGCTTGTTATGGTTATCTGACTAAATGTTCATTGGGCACTTTAGAGATATAGATTTCCCCCCACCTCTCATTTGCACATTCACATTGTCTTGGGGAAGTGGAGAAATGTGGGGAACATGAGGTGGCTTACTAGCCAGCTCAAGGTCCTGGCCAAACAGTCATCCAGCCCTGCAAAAATCCAGCTTCTCCTGAAGCAACAGATGGAGAGAACTTAATCAATTATGGGGGAAAGAATACAGATATGGTGTTGAGTTTCCACACCTTTTAGTTGTAAAGTCCTTTGGGCACACATAAAAATACACCAAACAAAAGCATAACTTGGACCTGTTGTGTGTTCAGACCTTTAAACCTTCCCCTTAAATAAATTCAGACAAGACTCAAATTTTGGTTTGGTTTTTGGCAGAATTTTTGCCACAACTTTATTGATTACAGCACATGAGTGGTTACATAGGCTCTGGTGCAACTAGCTCCCTGCACAGTTGCAGGTAGCGCTGACCCAGGGCACCAGCATAGATCAGCCTAGGGTGAACACCTGGATAAGCCGAAAGCCAGGAACAGGCTATCTCCACCACCCAGATGTCCCCCTGGACTCAGGCACGGGCAGTACCCCCTCTCAGGGGTTAACCAAACCATCGAGTCCCTGGAACAGAATAACCTTCACATAGGGATGGCGAGAGCGTTCTCCCATCCCTATCACCTGAACCAGAGCCTATCCACCACATGAGCACCGCGCTCGCCACCAACCACTCACACCTGCAACCAATCCCCGCTGACATGGATCTCAGCCACAAATCATTCCCAATTACAGACAGATGAACACCATCAAGCCTGTAAAGGGATGCATCACAGAAGGTAATGCCCTGGTGACGGATCACCGTCCCACCCAAGGCCAGAACCTTCTTGACCACAGCGCTCTGGAAGCGCCTCCTGGCCCTCTCAGTGGCAGCTGGGCATCGGCTACCACACCACACACGTCGCTTCAGCAACTGCGACCAAAAAGTTTTGAGTCCAGCAAGAGCTGCCTTCAACTCTTCCAAGTCCTCCTGCATGCGGGTCCGCAGGCTCAAGCGGGAGCTTCCGGCAAATCGTTCTCACCCAGCTGCACCACCGTCGTGAATTTATTTAGGGGGGAGATCTCTGGGTCTGAGCATGCAAAAGGTGGGTTTTCCTCAAGAAAACCAATACCTCCCTGGAGGGCCTCATCCATCGCCCAATGCTGTAGTCTAGTCTTCTGCTGTACTACCTCGTCTTATGAACATCTTACCTACTGTCCCCCCAACCACATCCTGAAATCTGCCTCCTTTGCTGATTCCCCTACTTCACCCCACTGAACCACAAGACTGAAGTCAGCTTGTTAACTCTTTTGCTAGTCTGTGTCAAAGATTCAGTTTTAATGGGTGGCAGGTAGATGCAACTCACACAACATTCACCTGTAGCTAGAAAAATATTCAATGTTTGATACAGGAGACGAGTGGCTAAATAAAGCATGTGAACAATTGACCAATATGATTCAAGTGAGAGAAGGCAGACAGGATTATGATCAGTTTGTTGAAAAAATAATAATAATTATTGTATATTGGGGTAGTAAGGTGCAGGAAAATATAAATCCATATGCATTGCTGGGAGGCTTTGAGATTGCATGCTACACTCAATTTAGTGAACTTCATTTGAAAACGAATGATAACAGTATTTTTTTCCACTCTTTTTTCCTCCCCTCCCCCCACCTTATTTTATTGGGATCTTTCCTAATATATTATGTTGTGTTATTGTTGTATAATATCAAAAACATTAAATATTCTTGTATTATGCAATATAACACCTTGTATTCTTTGGAGGAAAGTCAGGATACAAATATAATAAAAAAAGTTATATAAACAAGACATTGATTCCATAAAACATATTTTGTTGCACTGTGCAAAATATGAGCAAGCCAGGGCTGAACTGATACTACCCTTGCTGGTACCTTTCCCAGGAAAATCAGAGGCTCACTATGTCAGGTTCCTATTGGAAGACCAGACAAATGCTAGAACATTAGCAGTGGCAAAGTTTTTATCGGTGGTTGCAAGAACCAATGATCCCTATTATTCTGAACAAAATGCTTGTTTAACCTGGAGGTAGGCTGTATGAATTGTGCATTGCTTTGTAACGATTTGTTGGGTCTCTGGACCGTAATAAAGATTGTTGTTGTTGTTGTTGTTTTAGAAAGACTCTCCTCCCTGGAAGAGAGGGGAGTGGTTGTGGGCGGGAGCCCCGAGCACCGCCCCTAGCAGGGGGCGTAGCCCCCTGCCTCCACCTCACCTGGCTGGCGCCCACGCCCCTCTGCAGGCATCCAACTAGGTGCCTCGGAGGGGGCGTGTTCAGCAGCCTTTTGCTGCAGCGCCAGCCTCTCCCCAGCCTCATTCTTCGCCATCGTCTCGCCGCGAGTCACCCACCCTCCACTCCCTTTCAGTTAGGGCTTGGGTCATTGGCCTTGCTATGGACCTTAGTTTGGTCGCCTTGGTTGTCCAGGGGGCCTGGTAGGAGTTTTTCCCATTTGGCATTAGGCTTTTTGGTTTTTTCGCCTACCTCGTAGCAATCGTCACAACTTTTGTGGTATTGGTGGGTAGGTTAGGCATTGGAATAATGTGTTGTGGTGTGTCGAAGGGCTAGGTGTGGCCATCGCCTATGCCTTCAATTTTTGGGTATTCCGTTAAAGGAATCTGGCGGTCGTGTGTTCTGTCCGATGCCTGCTTGGCGGGAGGCCATGGCACGACCCTCGGTGACATCAGGGGGGAGCCTATAGTTGGATTAGCATCAACAGGCTCCACCTACTGGTGAATAAACCCACTTGTTTTAGGGATCCAATGCCTAAGCCAATACCTTTTCACTGCTGTAACCAATAAAGTTGTGGCCTTTCCATGCCCATTAACCTTATATCACGTGTCCTTGTGTATTCATTTCACATCGCGGGGGTCGGGCCCTCGAACCACAACTCTCTTGCCTGTTTGTGAACCAGAAGCAGCTCCTAATCATGGACAAAGAAGTAAGTTCATGACCCAGCAGACAATGCAAAAAATCATGAAGTCTGAGCAACATTTCCACATTATTCACACAAGTAGGCAACTCTCAACTCTTTTTCAAAATGGCCAGTCTTCTCAGTGCCTTGGCTGTTGCACCATGAATATCCTTGTTCCGCAGAGTATAAATGATAGGATTAAGCAAAGGAGTTACCACAATGTAAAAGACAGCAATTTTCTTGTCACGATCAGAAGTTGAACCCGACCGTGGAATCATGTACATAGAGATGACGGTGCTATAGAACAAAGTGACCACGATCAGGTGGGAGCCACATGTGGAGAGGGCCTTGCGCAGTCCAGTGGTTGATCTCATTTGCAATACTGAGGAGAGAACAAGCCCATAGGATATAAGGATAATCGTCAGAGGAATTAATAGCAATACTACTGATGCCAAGAATATGAAAGCCTCCGTGAGGTGTGTGTCAGCACATGAAAGTTTCAGCACCACCGGCAGCTCACAAAAGAAGTGGTTGATGTGGTTGGCATGGCAGAAGGGGAGACCAAGGGTGCTCCCCATGTTTATCGAAGCAAGGAGGAAGCCACCTGCCCAACAGAGCGAGGCAAGCAGGACTTGACGCCCCCAGCCCATGATACTGACATATAATAGAGGATGGCAGATAGCTAAGCAGCGGTCATAGGCCATGGCACTGAGAAGAAGACATTCAGCCCCACCCAGGGCCAATGTGATGTACATCTGTGTCATACAGCATGTGAAGGAGATGGCACCATTGCCAGACAGGAGGTGAGCCAGCATCTGGGGCAACGTGGTGGTGACATAACAGATCTCCAGGCCCGAAAGGTTCGTCAGGAAGAAGTACATGGGTGTGTGGAGGGAAGAGTCGGCCCACACAAGCATAATGATCACCAGGTTCCCCATAATGGTGAGGGAGTAGATGATGAAGATGACCACAAAGAGTAGAATCTGTGTCCTTCGGTCATTGGTGAATCCCATCAATATAAAATATTTGACAGAGGTCAAGTTCTCATCACCTATTCTGACCTCTTCCCTGCAGAGAAAGGGAAACAGTGAAAGAGCAGCGGCACGCTCAGGAAATGGGGCATGTCTCAAACAAGCTATGTTCCACTCATCGCAATATCGGATTGATCCCAGAACAAGCTAATCCAAGAGTGCAAGTGCACAATTGTCTCATTCCAAACTGATGAAAAGCTTCCCACAGGGCATGAATAGAGAGATATTCACTCCATTTGTGTGTCACTTTCAAATAAGAAAGGCTACCAGGTAACATAACACTGCTTATCATAGAGTCTTACAGGCCATAGTTGGCAAATATAGTTCAAACCATGGTGTCACATCAGAGTTTTTGTGGTTTATATTTTGATTTTGTCCTGTGAATTGCCCTGAGACCTCCAGGTATAGGGCAGTATATAAATTCATTAAAAAAATAAATCATAGGTGCCAACTCCTAGGGGCCGAGGCCCATTCGGCTCCCCCAATAAAATATTTGAGGGGACTGGGACCCCCTAAGTCAGTCATAGGCAAACTCGGTCCTCCAGATGTTTTGGGACTACAACTCCCATCATCCCTGACCACTGGTCCTGTTAGCTAGGGATGATGGGAGTTGTAGTCCCAAAACATCTGGAGGACCGAGTTTGCCTTTGCCTGCCCTAAGTTGATGGGCATTACCATTCAAATAGTGTGTATATACCATGTCATGTGATGAATTATGAAGGGTGGAGCTTACCTATCCTTCCCAATATTTTATTCCAGTTTACACCCCTGGAGATTATAGTTTACTGGGATAAAATAGATTTTTTAAGGGAGACCACCATTGTATGAATGTAGCCCTTCTTCACAATATCCATTAAAACAAGAAAATAGGCTACATTCACACACACACACACACACACACACACACACATATCTCATTTCCAAATTGAAGAACATGATCTTACCACTGCTTTTCTCTTTGTTGTTTTTCAGCAACCCCCAAATAGTTATCCATGTCACTGGTATGTGCAACTGTAAATGATAGCTGAGGGGGTTCCAGTCGGCTGTCTTAACGTGAGACGTTGAACAATCAAAGGAATTGTCAGTAATCTCAAGGAGGAACTTGCTGCATCTCTCCTAAAGGGGCTTCTGCTGAGGGAGGGCAGCTCTGTGCTGCTTGGAAAGACTGCCTGTTGCAGGGCACTCAGTAGTCTAATGCCTTGGGGTTTACTTGCAGTTTGCTTCTGCTAACCTTTCTGAAATCAAATTGGTTGTGAGGAAAATTGATCAACACATGGCCCAGCCAATCAGTGCTGTGCCTCCCTGCTCTGAGCAAGTGGGGCTGGTTGCTCTAGGGCTGACACAAGGTCCAAACAATCAGTGTTATGAACATCTAGATTCATCTCAAACAGGAAAATGCATGTTTTCCCTGCCTCCCATCCTAAAGAAAAGGTTATATGTATGTCCTCAGGTCATCAGGTGGTTGTCCTTCTCTGTCCTGTGAACTGGGTTCCTTTAACTGGAGATGGACCACAGAAAAAGTCTTGCTCTCCTTCTGATATGCTTCTTCCAGTACCTGGCCAGATGCTTGATGATCCTCCAACCTAGTTTTAATGCCTACTAAGGTGGGGTTCAACACAACCTGGCTTGCTCAACTGCCTATTCCTAACGTTAGAAAATTGGACAGCACACCAGTATTTGTATTCTTCCTATGACTTTTTGCATTCTTTTCCCCTTGTTTGCTATTCATTAAGATAATGAGGACAGTGCATCTACTCCACAGGGACTCCCTTGGTGCCTTCCTTCTCTTCAGCCATTAATAGGTGTTTATTTCCTGAACCTCATGGGGCTTCATGTTCTTAACATACCACAGATATGGAAGAATAATTCTATGCTGGCTTTGAATCAGAATTGTATGCATTGTAATGAAAACAAATAAGCACATTTCACATTCTGTTATCTGAATGTATGCAAACTGAGTGTATTTGAATTCGTCTCTGTGGGTTTCATGTTTTCCTTAGCATTTAGGGCGCATGGTATGCTCTTGGGAAGTTGCCTTATACTGAGTCAGATTATTGGTCCAACTAGCTCAGGGTCACCTATGCTGAGTAGCAACTGCTCTCCAGAATTTCAGAAAGGGGACATTTTCAGAGATTTTTAGTTTGCAGGTTGCAATCCGGATTTGGCTCTGGGGTGAACTGGAATGGGTGCACACCAGACCAGACCCAGTCCAGATTTATCAATTATGCTGTGCCCACTTGCAATTCCCAAGCAACTGGTATCCAGAGGAACAGTGACTCTGACAATGGAGATGTAATACAGACATCAATATCATTATCCTCTATGAATCTGTCCAATCCTCCTTTAAAACCATTGTGGGAGCATGTTCATTATGAGTTGCTGCTGCCAGCTCTAACTCCCTGTCGGCCTTGCAAGCATTTGTGCCAGACAGGGATGGCAAGAGTACCTGATCTGCCTTAGCATTCACCCAATTCTAATTTAGGAGGGTCCAGATTTCCTCCTAAAGCATCTGTGAAGGTAGATTCTGCCACTGTGTAAGCATTCTTCAACCCAATCCCCCTAAAGGTAAAGGTAAAGGCACCCCTGACAGTTAAGTCCAGTCATGAATGACTCTGGGGTTGCAGCGCTCATCTCGCTTTACAGGCTGAGGGAGCCGGTGTTTGTCCACAGGCAGTTTTTCCAGGTCATGTGGCCAGCATGACTAAGTGAAACCAGAGCAGCGCATGGAAACGCCATTTACCTTCCCACTGGAGTGGTACCTATTTATCTACTTGCACTTTGACGTGTTTTCGAACTGCTAGGTTGGCAGGAGCTGGGACTGAGCAATGGGAGCTCACTCCGTTGCAGGGATTCGAACCGCCAACCTTCTGATCGGCAAGACTCAGTGGTTTAGACCACAGCTCCACCCGCATCCCTCAATCTCCCCAGATGCCTTCAGAAATATGACATTCTCCTTGTCAGTGCTGCTCTCCAAAAACAAATCTTTTATTAATATTCTGAGCTATTTCTGTTCTCTATAAATTCTCTTTCTATGCAAGCAGTTATAGTTGAAATTCTCCCTTTGGGAGGGTCAAACTATTTTCTTAAGCTCCATCCACAGTGTCCTATCTGGCATGGCATCTGTGACTAATATTGTCCTTTTCCAGGTAAAACTTTAAGAGGACCTTTTGTGTATCAAACCTTTGGTTCAATGGTTGATGTAGCATCTTAGATTATCCCAGAATCATGTACCATGTTGAGGGGGGGTGTCTATGGTCACCCTCCATATCCGCACACATAATATTTAGGGTTTAGCGAAGAGTCTCAGTCTCTTATTTTTAGCCAATGTATTTCTTTACTTAAGCCAATATAGTTCAGGGTTACAGAAGAGGGGGGAAATAAGGTTAATCAGTCACATACAGAATATATCACCTGACAAGGGAATACAAAAATAAGGCAATATAATCAAGTGTATTCAATTTTAGAGTTGAAGCAAATATATTTAATTACCTGGGAATACAAGCGTGAGGTTATTTTTTTAAGAGAAGACTGAGTTGGTACCAAAAGGGAGCAATGTCTATACCTCATCTCTCCTTTGAAGAGACAAAAGTTAAGATACACACCTAAATTCAATTGCTAACTTCACCACTGTGAAGGGAAGATGTAGCTCGGCCCTAAAATCCTTGAATTTCTTCAGGTGCTGCTGGTAAGATCGCCTAGTGCCCTAAGCCCACTATGGCAGAAGTGATGGCATACTGGGATGTCAAATTCCAAAGTTCCACAGAACGCACAGAATCCACTGGGTTCCAGCTCCCAGAATAGCTCCATCAGGAACCAAGAGAGGGCATCAGCAATGCAATTCTGCAGGCCTGGGATGTGATGGGTCACAAACAAGATATTAAAGCATGCCTTAATAACTCTCCAAACCTGTGCTTTGTAGGCATAGGACATGCAGAAGTGTGTGTAAGCCCTGAGTGGGTATAGCATTGCAAATGAAATCTGAAAACAGCCCTCTATCTTGGCTACTGTACCTTGGCTTTGGTGTTCCAATAAAAAGAAAATTATTTTCATTGTGGGGGGGAGAAAAATATTGAAGTCAGAAGGAGGATCTGGTGGGAATTCCCAGCATCCCTGTCTCCCTTCCAGCAGGATTTGGCACTCAGATCTCCTCAGCAGCAATGTTGGCTCCAGAAAAGAGAGACGTTATCAAGATTTGGCTGTGAACAATGACCCATGAAAGGACTAGCAAGTTGAGGAGCTGGCCCTGAGGACAGAAGCTGTTCGGTTCTCCTTGCTTTTTCCTGGCCTAAGAGTTCCATGCTGTCTAGAGTTTTCTTGGGTTGGTCCTTTAGGGCATGGGAAGACAATATGGTGCTCTGCAGAGGACGCTGAGTTGTTCTGAATGGGGAATGAAAGAAACATCTATGCCACCTTGACTTCTTTGGAGGAAAAAATTGGCATAAAATAAATAAATCAATGGCATAAACTTGCTCTACAGCTTTCTTAGAAGCTCTTGCTCCAGAAACAGCTCCTGGTCATTGACAAAGAGACAGCTCCATGTCCCAGGAGATATGTATCTCCTGTGCCAAAACCTGATGCTCAAGCAACATTTCCATATTATTCATACTAGTAGGCAATGATCAACTCTTTTGCTTAATGTCCAGTCTTTGCAACACCTTGGCTATTGCATCATGGATATCCTTGTTCCGAAGAGTATAAATGATAGGGTTGAGCAGAGGGGTGACTACAAGGTAGAAAATGGCACTTTTCTTGTCACGATCAGAAGTTGAACCCGACCGGGGAATCAAGTACATAGAGATGACAGTGCCATAGAACAAGGTGACCACAATCAGATGGGAGCCACACGTGGAGAAGGCCTTGCGCCATCCAGCAGTTGACCTCATTTTCAATACTGAGGAGATAACAAACCCATAGGAGGTCATGATAATTGAAAGAGGAAGTATGACCCCAAGTGAAGCTGCCAAAAAGATGGCGGCCTCTGTAATGTAGGTGTCAGTGCATGAAAGTTTAATCACCATTGCCATCTCACAGATGAAGTGGTCAACACGGTTTGGGCCACAGAAGTAGAGAGAAGTGGCACTGCCAACCATTAGAGACCCAAGGAGGAAGCCACCAACCCAAGTGACTGAGGCAAGTAGAAATTGTCGCCACCAGCCCATGACACTAGTATATATTAGAGGATGACAGATAGCTAGGTAGCGATCATAGGCCATTACACCTAGAAGAAGGCATTCACAGGATCCGAGGGACAATGTGATGTACATCTGTGCCATACAACGGGTGAAGGAGATGGCTCCATTGCCAGACATGAGGCTTGCCATCGTTTGGGGCAAGGTTGTGGTGACATAGCAGATCTCTAGGCCTGCTAAGTTGCTCAAGAAGAAGTACATTGGTATGTGAAGTGAAGACTCAACCCACACAAGCAAGATGATCAACAGGTTCCCCAAAATGGTCAGGGAGTATATGATGAGGACTACCACAAAGAGAAGAATCTGTGTCCTTCGATCACTGGAGAATCCCACCAATATGAACTCTTTCACAAAAGTGACGTTTTCTTCCCCCATCCTTATCTCCTTCCTGCAGAGAAAGGGCGACAGGGGAGACCAGAGAAATTATCTGAGAACCATAAGTATAGCCTTGTTTGGGGCCCTACAAGACTGGGGTCAAACCATGAACCAACCATGAGCCTCAATTTCATTTTATAAAATATCTCAGCAAGTTTCTTTAGTTTCCCATTAATTGAAATTTCCTTTCACTACTGCGTGTCTTTCAGTCATTGTGATTGTGAGAACAGCTTATTTATTCTTTATTTAACAATCTATTGAAGTATAGATAATTTTATTGTTTAAAATTTTTTTGTAAACCATTTTGGGTTTTCTTACAATAAATGCTGTATAAATTTATATAAAAGTATATATTTCTTGATGTTCATGGTTTTATTTACTTATTTATGTTAGAGCAGGCATCCCCAATGTTTTGGGATTACAATTCCCATCATCCCTGACCACTGGTCCGGTTAGCTAGGGATGATGGGAGTTGTAGTCCCAAAACATGTGGAGGGCTGAGTTTGGGGGGTGCCTGTGTTACAGGAATCATAGTGCTGGGACACCATCTTGTTTAGTGACATCAACGCCCCGCTGATACGTTGACTTTAGTTCTGTGCATTCGTTATTTTTTTGTGGTATATGGTTGCAAGAACTGCCCTGGGATTTATTTATTTTATATTTTTATGAAAAGAACTGTGCAAATGAGATGATAAAGAAACACATGAGGGTTTTATTTTCTTTGAGGGTCTATTTGGGCTATGTGGAAGAGTATGAGTGGAAAGAAAATGGTTCCTCATTCATAGTAGTGGTGATTTGGTCTAATAAGGTAGAAGGCAAGGGAACCAGGAATAGGAGACCAACTGATTCTGGTTTTGTCCCCAACCTCCTCTTAGATAAGTTCTACAAGAACAACATTAAGACTAACCAAGGGGGAGGAAAAATAAAACAATAGAAATACTCAACTAACTGACCAGTCTTCATGGCTGCTGTTCTCCCAAACACAGCATAAATGAATTTCAGAGTGATGCCTTTGAGAAATTTAAAAAAGAAAGAAAAAAGAAAGAGGAACCCCTTTAAAGAAGAAACTACAGACCCAAAACTACATACAATTCTCTGCATACAGCAGAGTAACTTTTCAAGAATGGATAGTGCCAACAAACGTTAGGGGTTTCCTCCCCACCCCACCACCAATTGACTTACAAATTACTCAATATTATCTGACCTTTGTATGCTGCACAGGGTTCACCAGCAGCTGTTAAGAAATTTCTCTTGCAGCAGTGTTTTCTTAAGGCATATGAAAGCTGAATAGTTTTCTCTTGAGGGCTGTAAAAAAAAAAAAAACCGGCAGGGAAGTTCACTGTAATACTGGTGACTTCATAGGAAAGCTGCATGCAGCTTCTGGTTTCCCTCGCAGAGGCTGCATGAAGATGAACAAAGAAACGAGAGCCAGCGAAAGGATTCTTGCTTTGGAGTTAGATCTGCCTCTCTCTGCCTTCTCTCTTTTACAGATGATACCCAGTTCTACCTCTCCTTTAAAACAGAACCAATGAATGTCCTATGTGAGTGTCTGTAGGCGGTTGGAGGATGGATGGTGGTTAATGGGCTTTGAAGACACTCAAACTCAGGACGCAAGGGAGAAACATGCCAAAAGGAAGGCACATTTGGCAAATCCACACCATGATCAACTCCCACCCGGAAACCAATGTCCCCACTGTGGAAGGACATATGGATCCAGAATTGGCCTCCACAGTCACTTACGGACTCATCGTTAAAACCGTGTTTATGGAAGACAATCTTACTCAGCTGGGGCTGCATGCAGACAAACTAGAGCCAGAGAAAGGGCTCTTGCTTTGGAGTAAGATCTGCCTCTCCCTGCCTTCTCTCTTTTACAGAAACACAGATTCTGGAACGGCAGCTGCTTGCATCTCTTCTCTGATATACTTCCAATAGTCTTCTCTCTATGCACACAAGTGCTTGTTATGGTTATCTGACTAAATGTTCATTGGGCACTTAAGCAATAAAGATTCCCCCCACCTCTCATTTGCACATTTACATTGTCTTCGGGAAGTGGAGAAATGTGGGGAACATGAGGTGGCTTACTAGCCAGCTCAAGGGCCTGGCCAATCAGTCATTCAGCCCTGCAAAAATCCAGCTTCTCCTGAGGCAAGAGATTGAGACAACTTAATCAATTATGGAGGAAAGAATATATATATGGTCAGTGCTTTTCTTGGGTGCTGCCCCAACAAGTTTTGAAAGTCTTCCAAAATGAGGGTTAATCACAGCCTAGCTTATTCCACTACCTAACTCTTCTCAGGTTTAAAACAGAGACAGCAGTGCCGAATGATTTCTCCCTGCCATTTTACAAAGGCATGGTGATTCATTAAGTTAATAAAGACTGTGAATCTCCCACACTGGATCTGCTCCAACTTCTTTTGTCTCTCTGGCCCCTAAGCTCATTAACAATTCTTTACCTGTACCTTCAGCCACTTGGGCCTGAAACTTTTGACATAGCGATTAACAAGACACAAGGGAAAGATTTTCCAAGAAATGAATGGAATGGAGTATTCTAGCAACCTAGCTATGACATGTGCTCTACTAGAATACTCCATTCCACCTAATCTTTTCTCTCCTGCCACCAAAAAATACTCAGTAGTCTGTGAAAACTGAGCATGCTCTCTCCATGTCAGGTTCCTTTAGGGTTTATATCCCCCCCCCTCCCCAGTTTCCCTTCCACACAAAAAAGATGTAGATTCCTGCAAGAGCTGGATTTTCCACAGGCTGGTCAATAGCTCCCTCATGTTCATGGGAGGCAACATTTTGCGTAAATAATTACAGTGGTACCTCGGGTTAAGTACTTAATTCGTTCCGGAGATCCGTTCTTAACCTGAAACTGTTCTTAACCTGAAGCACCACTTTAGCTAATGGGGCTTCCCGCTGCTGCCATGCCGCTGGAGCACAACTTCTGTTCTCATCCTGAAGCAAAGTTCTTAACCCGAGGTAATATTTCTGGGTTAGCGGAGTCTGTAACCTGAAGCGTATGTAACCCGAGGTACCACTGTATTGGCATTCATACCCAAAACACTGGTAATGTAGAAAATGATACTGCACCCACCATCAGAGGTGAACAAAGTAGGTATAGAACTGCAAATGTGGTTTGAAAACAACCCTATATCAGGACTCCATATTATGTGTTGATTTTAAAAGACTTATTTGCAGCTTTCTTGCAAAATATCAGTTGTGTACAGCAATATAAGGCAAGGAGGATGTTGCATCACATTTTAAGGATGCATTCCAGCCTGGAAAAGGAAGTATAGGAGGGTGCAGAGTAGGGCCAGTGAAGGAGGAGGCCTTGGGAAATTAGCCTGTGAGCTGGTGAAGTAGGCCTGCAGGTGCCTGAATGGGGTCTGGGGAGCTCACTGCATCCCGCTGTGTCGCTCAATCCTGTGTCTGCCAGCTTGAAAGGCAGAGCAGGTACGACCTGGGAATGTGTCCCTCCCATGGACGAGCTTCCGTCTCTGGCATGATTTGTGGTTGGTTGCTCCATAATTTGGGCAATTGTCATGAATCAAGAGGCACTCCTGAACCAACATATGCTAATGGGCTGCAATCAGTCAGCTGCCAATAGGACTGGGCTTGGCTCCTTGAAGGTATCTGAATGTTTTCCTTGAAGCTTGAGAATCCTTACAACAGACAGGAAAGGAAGGGGAAGGACAAGGTGCTGTGTATTTTATGCTTTCTTATGGTTTTCAAATGGCTTCCTTTTTTCCTGTCCTCTCCTGTTATTCTGTTTCTTATTTCGGAGAAGAGGGGGAAGGCTTTTGATTTATGCTCAACAATGAATTTAACAAGGTTTTAGTATGCCCTCCGCCTTTGACTGAGGCTGAATGGACTTTATTTAAAATTATTCCTGGACTGGACTAGGCGTGCTGTTGGAGAAATACTGTTTAAAAAGTATGAACTGCTGCTGAACAGATCTGGCAAAGAGGCTGAATTTGAGAAAAGATCTTGTTTTTAACTGTGTGCTGAGGAAGAACTCCAGAGCGAAATTTTCATGGTGGAGTTTGGATGTTCACTCTGTCAGTTATTTACAGCTGCAGCCCATACGCTATTCTGTAAACAGTGGGAGGAATCAAATGTGACCTTGTACCGTCCAGAAAAAGACTGCAAAGAACTGAACAATGGAAGATAGCAATTAACTCTCCCAGCACACCAGGTCCGGGATAATAATGTATATGAAGGACTACACACGTGAAAAGTATTATTTATAACATGCAACGGAGGTGCTGTCTGTAAGGTGAAAAAAGCAGCCAGCTGGAAGAATGGTTTAACAGCAAGTGAAGGATGTCAACTGGACTCTAAATAAGAAATGATGTGGCTATGAGAGGAGAGGATGGTCATATGTTTGGAACAGGATTTTTTTTAAAAAAATATATTTAAATGATTTAATTTGGTTTGATTTTTAATAATTTGGAAAATTAATTTAAAAAATAAATTGGAAAAAAGACAATGCAAAACAACAACACGCGAAATGTTGTTTTTTTTGTATATAATTTTATTAAGCTTTCTGTTTTACAATTTAAAATACTCATTTTACATCCTTATGTCAATGACTTCCCTTCTCTTTCCATGGCTCATTTTAAATATCATAAATCACTGCATATTTTACAAAAACGATACCATTCCCTCCCCCTCTTCTTTTTTCCTTTCTCCTCCTGTGATGGAACTCCTATTTGGGGGCTTGCCAGGCTTTTTCTGGCCCATGTAGGACCAGTCTGGATAGTTACCCTTGGTGAAGATTTGACATTTTCATCCCCAAAAAGGTTTTTGATATGAGTTTCCATTGAAATGAGGCTGTATTTTAATGTTTTAATGTTGTGTTTTAATCTTGTTTTTAAGTTGTATTTCAATCAATTTGTTTTTATATCGGGTGTTAGCCACCCTGAGTCCGGTCTTTGCTGGGGAGGGCGGGGTATAAATAATTTTTTATTAGTATTATTCTGTATTCCATTATTGCATCCATCAAAACTTGTGTACGCTGTTGAAGTTATCTTAATGCTGCCAGCGTTTTCAGCTACAACACGCATCATGTTTGGGCAACATTTGCACATTATTCACTCTAGTAGGCAACTCTCAACTCTTGCAAAATGGCCAGTCTTCTCAGCGCCTTGGCTGTTGCACCATGAATATCCTTGTTTCGCAGAGTATAAATGATAGGATTAAGCAAAGGGGTGACCACAATGTACAAGACAGCAATTTTCTTGTCACGATCAGAAGTTGAACCCGACCGTGGAATCATGTACATAGAGATGACGGTGCTATAGAACAAGGTGACCACGATCAGGTGGGAGCCACATGTGGAGAAGGCCTTGCGCAGTCCAGTGGTTGATCTCATTTGCAATACTGAGGAGAGAACAAGCCCATAGGATATAAGGATAATCGTCAGAGGAATTATAAGCAATAGTACGGATGCCACGAATATGAAAGCCTCCGTGAGGTGCGTGTCAGCACAAGAAAGCTTCAGCACTATCGGGAGCTCACAAAAGAAGTGGTTGATGCGGTTGGGGCCGCAGAAGGGGAGGCGAACGGTGCTACCTGCATTTATAGAACCTAGGAGGAAGCCACCTGCCCAACAGAGTGAAGTAAGCAGGACTTGGCGCCCCCAGCCCATGATGCTAGCATATAATAGAGGGTGGCAGATAGCCAAGTAGCGGTCATAGGCCATGGCACTGAGAAGAAGGCATTCGGTACCACCTAGGGACAACGAAATATACATCTGGAGAGTGCAGTGGGTGAAAGAAATGACTCCGTTTCCAGACAGGAGGTGAGCCAGCATCTGGGGCAAAGTGCTGGTGACAAAACAGATCTCCAGGCTTGACAGGTGTGTCAGGAAGAAATACATGGGTGTGTGGAGGGAAGAGTCAAGTCGGACAAGGATGATGATCACCAGGTTCCCCATAATGGTGAGGGAGTAGATGATGAAGACCACCACAAAGAGTAGAATCTGTGTCCTTCGGTCATTTGACAGTCCCACCAATACAAAATATTTGATCGAAGTAAAGTTCTCGTCCCCCATCCTAACCTCTTCCCTACAGAGAAAGGGCAACAGTGAGTCTAAGGAAAGCCATGTGTTACACATCACAATGTCAGTTAATCCCCAAACCAACCAATCCAACGCTGTGTGTGCATACTTGTCTCATTTCAAATAAATGCAAAACTTTCTACAAGGCATGAATTGGGTGACACATGCTCCATCTGCTTGTAACCTTCCAAGGCAATAAAATTGTGTCAACCAATAAACATGCAATGCTTAAACCAGGTTCATGCAAACCTTGGTTTATAAATATAGTCTAAATCATGAGTTCACATTAGAGTTAACAGCCCAACATTGGTGCTGTTTTAGTTTTTTGTTGACTCTCAGTTGACCTATGGAAACCCATGAGCCTACCTTGGCTATGTTCATTAATATCAATATAGGTACTCAGAATAAAAGTTAATTGAACTTCACCCATAATGTGCAATCAGGGTTAAGATAAGTAAAGCATGATTACACAGGTCTTATATCTAATTTTTTGCCTCATCCAGTCAACCCTCTTTACTTGGGTGTCATCAGTTCAACAGACAACTTTGTCAATTCCTGACTGTGACCATTTTCTTTTTATCAAATTATGGATCAAATATGACTGAGGCCAAACAGTGATTTTTACTTCCTTAAAGCTAGAAGTACTGCTTTCTTTGTCCAGATTTCTAACCAAATTTTATTGTGTGGTGTGTATTTTTCTGTTCTCACATTTTATTATTTATCATACATTGCCACACATTCATTTTAATTTTAGTTATTGATATGGGGATATATTTTAGCAGATAGATAGATGATAGATAGAGATGATAGATAGATATGCGCAACATTCACACACAGGCAAAATCCCAATTCCAAGTTGAAGAATATGATCTTACCTTTGCACTTCATTTTGTTGCTCCTCAGCAACCTCAAAGGAGTTTTTCATTCTTGTGCAACTGTGAATTATAGCTGAGTGGGTTCCAATCAGCTTTCTCATGTGAGACGTTGAACAACCAAATGAACTTTCAGTGATCTCAAGGAAAAACCTGCTCTACCTCTCCCTAAGGGGCTTCCACTGAGGAGGAGCTGCTTTGAAAAACTGCTTGCTGCAGGGTACTCAGTAGACTAATGCCTTGCAGTTTACTTCCTCCCAGAATTATGAACAAGAAGGAGGTAGATTTTCCTAGATAAGGCAAGGTACAGAATGAAAACGAACAGGAGCCACTGTGTGCATTCTTGCCTTCTGCCAAAATCTGCTTCTTCCTGCTTTTGCTCCTATGCTGACAATTGGCTCCCAAGTTAAAGCTGTTTCCTCTCTCCAACTGGCTTTCCTGCTGGGCCACAGAATTTTCTCACTCTCTTGCTCTCTGTCTCTCTCACACATCCAATCTTCTGGCCTTATTTAGCGCTTGTTTGTTAAAGATTTCTCCCACTTTTAAAGAATCAAATTGGTTGGGGAGGAAATCAACCTCCTGATCAACACATGGCCCAACCAATCAGTGCTGTGCCTTCCTGTTCTGAGCAAGTGGGGCAGGTTGATCTATGACTGATACAAAGTCCAATCAGTGCTGTGAACATCCAGATTCATCTCAAACAGGAAAATGCATCTTCTCCTTGCCTCCCATCCTGAAGAGAAAGCTGTATGTATGTTGGCAGGACATCGGGTGGCTGTCCTTCCCTGTCCTATGAACTGGGATCCTTTAACTGGAGATACCAGGGACCACAGACAAAGGTCTTGCTTGCTTTACCAGATTGTGGATGATTCTCCAACCAAGTTTCAATGCCTTCTAAGGTGAGGTTCACCACAACCTGGTTTGCCCAACTGCCTGCCTAATCCCAACATTAAAAGCTAGACAGCACAGCATCATTTTTATTGTCTCTAGGATTTTTTGCATTGTTTTTCTGTTGCTTGAGATTCATTAAGATGAATCAACTACACCGCAGGGACTCCCTTGGTGCCTTTCTCTGTGCCATGAATAGTTGTTTATTTCCTGAACCTCATGGGAATTCAAGCTCTTAGCATAGAAATATGGAAAGATAATGCTGGATTCAACATAGAGTTCTATGCATTCTAATCTAAAAAACAAAACAAAATACATTCCTCATTCTATTATTTGAATGCATGCAAACTGGGTATATCTGAATGCACATCCACAGGTTTTACCTTTTACTTAGCTTTTATGATGCAAGGTATTCTCATAGGAATATGGGGACCTGTCTTATAGTGAGTTAGACCAGTGGTCCATCTAGGTCAAGTCTGTCTATGCTGAGCGGTGACAGATCTCCAGAATTTCAGAACAGGGACATTCCCAGGCACAGCTGAAAATATATGGGATTGAACCTGGGACTTCTGGTGCAGAGCAGAAGCTATAGCCTTCCATAGCCAACAGTTTATTGATGACAGTGAAGAATGGGGGAAGATTAATTTTGGTGTCTATTTAAGAATTTTGGTACTTCTTTATTGGCTAATCCTGCGTCCCCCGTCCCCCCCGTCACTCCCCATTGCCTGGTCCCACTGCCTGCTACATGTTGGATTCCAAAGGTCTTCACCATGGAGCTTGCTCCATGTGCAAAGACTCCCTGCACAATTTAGAATGCTGATAGTGTAAGTGTTCTGAATTCTACAGTTCTTAATCTTGTGGGTTAAGCTGATTTATTCTGATCTAACTGCTACAAGCTGCATTAATAAGGTACTATCAGAGAAGTAAGGTCGTGGACTATCCTTCATTGATGGTTTTCAGACATAGGTTGGATGGCCATTCTTTAGCTATAATTCCTGCATTGCAGAGGTTTGGACTAAATGAGCCTTTTGGGACTCTCCCAACTCTGCAGTTGTACAATTCTCAGTTGGAGCTATGTCTGTGAGGCACAAAGCAAGGATTCCCATGGTTTCCAGTACTGTCTGGCTTCTCACCAAATCCACCTGCAGAAGCAATTAGAAAATAACACAAAACTCTAGGGGTGGAAGTGTATGTGAAAATGATGTATTAATACTAAAGGATCCTGGTAAGCCATTTGAAATTGCTTTAAATTTACTTAAATTATTTTGCCAAATTTGAGGGTTATAAAATAAAATTACAACAATCAGAATGGATTTGATACCACATACCAAAATAATAATAATCAAAAGGACATAATGGGGTAGGGTGGAATTCCCATAGAGAATTCCCATATCTAGATATATGAATTGCTCACATCGCTGGAGAATAAAAATTCAAATTCCATGGACAGAAGTCCCCATAAGGTATATGGACCACTCAAAATTTGGAGGAGCTAATTCAATTTAATCATTTAAAATCAATGTGAGATGTTAACAAAGGTCTAGCCACTGCTTAGGGGGTGGGGGAGGGAGAAATATCTGCCACCTGTTTGTGTAACTATGTGGTGAATACCAACACTTGAGCCACCCCATTCATATTACAGGCAACATTTAGTTTCGCTGCTCAAAGCTCCATCTTCCCAGCACCTTGGCTGCTGCCCCATGAACATCCTTATTCCGCAGAGTATAAATGATGGGGTTGAGCAAGGGAGTGACCACAACATAAAAGACTGCAATTTGCTTGTCCCGGTCAGGAGCTGACCCTGACTGGGGGATCATGTACATAGACATGACAGTGCCATAGAACAAGGTGACCACCACCAGGTGAGAGGCGCAGGTGGAGAAGGCCTTGTGCTGTCGGGCAGTTGACCGCATTCGCAACACTGAGGAGAGAATGAGTCCGTAAGACGTTAGGATAACAGAAACTGGAATTAGCAGGGCCAGCACAGATGCAACGAAAAGAATGGCTTGTGTAACGTGCGTGTCGGCACATGCAAGTTTCAGCACCACGGGCAGCTCACAGAAGAAGTGGTTGATGCGGTTTGGACCGCAAAAGGGGAGCCTGAAGGTGCAGGCCACGTTTATCGAACCCAGGAGGAAGCCACCCATCCAGCAGACTAAGGCAAGCTGCAATTGACGCCACCTGCCCATGGTAGTGGTGTACAGCAGGGGGTGGCAGATGGCCAGGTAGCGGTCATAGGCCATGGCAGCTAGGAGAAGGCATTCCGTGCCGCCCATGCCCAGTGCAATGTACATCTGGATAGCACAATGGGCAAAGGAGATGGTCCCATTGCCAGAAAGGAGGTGAGCTAACATTTGAGGCAAGGTGCTGGTGACGTAACAGATCTCCAGGCCTGAAAGGTTTGTCAGGAAGAAGTACATGGGCGTGTGGAGGGAAGAGTCAGCCCACACAAGCATAATGATCACTAGGTTCCCCATAATGGTGAGGGAGTAGATGATGAGGATGACCACAAAGAGTAGAATCTGTGTCTTGCGGTGACTGGTTAGTCCAACCAAGATGAACTCTGTGATAGTGGTGAGGTTCGCCAACCCCATCCCAGTCTCCTGCCTGAAGAAAAAGGGCAACATTGAGAAACCAATGATGTTCTCTGGGAATGGGACAACCTTAAAAACAGGTGATGTTTCACTTCCTGCAACACTAGAACAAATCCCAAACCAATCAACTTTGAATAATCATCTCAGCAGCAAGATGCTAATGGACTACAACTCCCAACACCCCTGAACATTTGCTAGGCTGGCTGGAACTACAACTTCTGGAAGGTTTTATCTCAAAGCACATAAGCCCATTTATAACCTGCCTTTCTTCCATTATTCAGCCCAAGGTGATGGAACATGGTTCCCATGTGATCATTCATGCAGGCACAGGCCTGACCCAGACCTTCTTGGCTTCAGAAAGGTAGTGGTCTAGTGTGCCTGCAGACCATACAAGCCACAGCTAGAGAGAGACAACAGCTCCATCTGCTTCTCACCTTACAAGCCAAGAAGCAGAAAATGGCTAGGAAACTGCCTTTGCCACGTTTACTTCATTAATATGCATTGCTTAAACCAGGATTGGGGAACCTCCAGCAGCAAGAGACCCCATGACAAACAGGGCTATTTCTGGTTGCTTTTGTTAAGTATAGTTGTTCAACTGATGCTGAAATGGGAATGCCTATGTGTGTAAACAAAGGTTTAACATGGAGAATGGAGAGATGTGTATTTCTAACATTGTGGTTTTTCCACAGTCATTTTCTCTGAATTTCTTAGTAGTGAATTTCAGTAGTGGTCTCTGAATTTCTTAATGGGTTGATAATTACCATATTTTTTGCTCTATAAGACTCACTTTTCCCCTCCTAAAAAGTAAGGGGAAATGTGTGTGCGTCTTATGGAGTGAATGCAGGCTGCGCAGCTATCACAGAAGCCAGAACAGCAAGAGGGATTGCTGCTTTCACTGCGCAGCGATCCCTCTTACTGTTCTGGCTTCTGAGATTCAGAATATATTTTTTCTTGTTTTCCTCCTCCAAAAACTAGGTGCGTCTTGTGGTCTGGTGCGTCTTATAGAGCGAAAAATACGGTAACTAACTGTTGGTTGTTCTCTTAAACTGAATGCAATGTTTGATCATGTGATGAGGCTATTGAGTTGCCAATTCACCATCTTGGAAGGGTGGTGGCTGGATTCTTTGCTCTCCAGGGGCACACAGTCTTGGGGCCTGGAATGCAGGCCATGAAGCCTGTGTGTGAGAAACAGAGCTATGTTTGTCAGCTCTGATTATAAGTTTGTTTAATTTCTAAGATGCTGAGCCTGTGCTGGACAGCACAAGATATTGTATGGATACTGTGGACGTATCGTTTATGCTTTTGTTCTGTTTTTGAAGAATGTTCTGCAAGTAAACTTTGAATAATATTTTAATGTGTCTGGACAATGTTTCATTCCAAAAGAACCCAGTTTTTTATGCATCCAGTCATTTCAAACTCCACAGTATTAATATCTGCAATAGTTCTGCCCAGGTTTCTAAGCTGTGGTTGGAAGCCATTTAAACCAATTTTGGCATTGTCTCTCCAGAAGCGTCTCAGGAGCAAATGTTTTGAGCAAAGAGGAAATGAACTTTAACAGGACTCCCTGTTCA